TCTTTGGCATTGATTATAGAGAGAATGGCTGAGAAAAAGAAAGTTGCAGAGTCTTTGGCATTGATTATAGAGAAAAGTTCAAATCTAGTGTCCAACATTCAAGGTCTTCCTCTTCTATGAAAGTTATTGAGCTTCCAAAGATTCTCTCAGATTCTGATTCAGAGAAGAGTGATTAAGAAATCAGCTGAGAATCTAGCTTTGCTTCAAGGAGGAGAAAGAGGAAAAGGAGGAGAAAGAAGAAGCTGAGATCCCAAGGAGCTTCAATTGTGGCAAACCTAGCCATTTTGCAAGAGGGTGAAAATTCAAGAACTCATAATATTATTCAAGCAAAATGCAAGAAGATCAAGAACTCATAATATTATTGCAAAGAAGAAGGAAGAGGGTCAAAGTCTCATGGCTGAAGCTGAAGGAACAGGAAAATTGGCCAGAAGAGACCACTTCTTCAGAGAATGAGGATGCCCATTACTGCATGATGGGATCTTTGAACACATCTGGATCATCTTCAGAGACATAATCTGGGGAAGGGGAGAGCATCTGATGTTTCCAGGCGGTATAACCCGATCAGGTAGAGAGGTCCGACCTTTATGATTTCGTAGTGGGATTTCTGATTCTTTGGAAGGAAAAAAGAGAAATCTGAATTGAAAGATAAGATATCTAATTTGGAAAAGGACTATGAGAAGGTAGAAGATGAAAACAAAGATTTAAGGCTTAAAAATGAGTTTTTATCAAAAGAAAAGAAAGCATTGATGTTTATAAAAAGATTAAACAGCTTGAAGACTTGAACCTTCAAAAGGGGACAGGACAGACATAACACAAAACTCTAAACAATCCTAAGATGGGTTTTGGTTTGAATGAGCATCATATTGTGTTAAAAAATTCTCCTACAAATCTATATGATATTTCAAAAATGGGTGTTTTTCAAACAAAAGAGAATTTTCAAACATAATTTAAAATATGGTGGAAAGGATTCCTATTGAAGAATGTTTTATTCCTCTATATCCAAGTCTGAATCAAAAGAAAAGGAGAAAGTAGAGTTATGTTCAAATTCTGATTGTGTCGATAACATATTTGAGAAGACTTGTGCAAGCAATGATCAAGTTAAGTATAATAATGTGGGTTTTCATTACTTAGAGTTGAATCAGAGTTCTGAGAACATAAAGCCATACTATTATAAATATTATGACATTGTATTTCAATATGCTATTCATGAAAACAAGTCTGAAAGCGCAAAGGAGATTAAATCTGAGGCTACTTGTTCTAACTCTCAGTTCTTTAGTCACAGTTTAGAATAGTGCACTCATATGTCTGACTCAAAAAAAGGTAAGCTTAAATCTAAAGATTAGGTGGGGTTAGATGATCTATGTAA